ATTGGTATACACCGGATCGAATTATAAGTAATAATATATATATACTACTACAATTTGATTAACATCTTATTAATAAAGTGAGTTTATTTGTTTGTTACTTCTTGGTTTCACCGTGTTAATAGTTATTAATAACTAATAATATTATACATACATGAGTTACTTTCGGTCTCTGTCAATCAACACATAAAAATGTAATGATCACGCAGTCGAATTCGCGAGTTAAAACTAGTTAAAATGCTTACCAAAAATGAAGAATAAATACGACCATGATTTCATTAAATACGATTCTGTTGCATTTCGAGCTTACGAGAAAGGCTATGGACATGCTATAGCAGATAACAAAACAGAAAATTAAAAAGTAGACAAAAATAATACCTGGGCCTTACAATATTCATTTAATATTTAAATATGGAACCCAAATAAAATCATATTCAGAAAATACCCGCCAATTTTCGTAAAACATTTCGGCTACATTGTATGCACAGACAGGTACATTATTGTACCTACACTAATGACAATAATTTTCACGGTCGAGTAAGTGCAGCCGACAGTTGGTGGTTCGAGCTAATTATAATAAATTAACGGCGGTATACCCTAATGGGCCCCCAGTTATAATTACACTGGATATGCTAACTGCTAAAGGGACCCTTTAAAATCACCAGTTCCATTTTTTTCTTATTTGACCATTTATAATTTTTTTTTCTCACATGTCGTACGCATTGAGGAATTTGTTCTAAATTGAAATTGATTTCTGTCTGATTATGATGTTATCACAGGAAAATATGAAATAAAATGAATTTATTTCGCAAGAATGTACCTAGATGAATTTTGGATAAAAGTGATGGATACCTTATACATTCTGCTTCTGAGAAAGAGTACAAATATTTGATCATTTTTTAAACTACATAAGTGCATGCTTTTACTTTTAATTACAAATATTATTCTTTATATTACTTTCAGATTACAATTGCATTATTTTTATAATTTTACATTTATGTCATTATTAACAAGTAGGTACCTGTATAACAGTTGTCTAAGTAGATAATATTACTAAAATGTTTAAATAAATTTAACACAGCATTTGTAATTATTCTTCGTTTATCACATTATATGTAACTATGTAAGTACGAATATATATAATAATATATCAGTTCTTAATTTAAATTATTTTTTATATTAAATATTCGTTAATACCATAAAATCTCTTACATAACATCTTACATAAGCTTAATTAATCCTTATGTTTACGTTTAAATAATGTGTGAGTTGTCACTTCTCTGATATCTTTTGGTAGACATATACTTTAATAACTATGTAATACAGTACGATTTCTTATTATATAAATCTATCCAAGATATTGGTATATATAATTTGTCGTTATGTCTAGTTATACGTTCTGTGGAGTCTGACTTTTTTTTAAATAGCTAGAATGTTCACTTACTAAAATTTCATCGGAATTTTATGTACACGTTTTAAATATAATTTAAATAGGAGTTCATATTTTATCGAAATTAGTTGAGAGATTAAGCACATGCTTTACTTATTATTTATGCATTGTCTATTGACCTCATTACAAAAAAAAAATTGATATAAAAAGCGGACTTCATTCATCATTCCTATAAAATTATTAGAATAGCTATATCAGTATTCTTACATGACTGCTCCATATAACAGAACGTGTAGTAAGTAGGTACATGGGTGGCAAACCACAACCGCGGTCGCTCCAACACTCGACTGCACTAATTCCTCGCACATTATACTCATAATCCTGTCATCCTTTGTTTTATACGTCAACCTAAATAATAAACTTTTTGACTTTATCTAGATTAAAATTGATATTTTTTGTGCCCTTATATCTATATCACATATTATCACTAACAAAATCACATACAACTTGTTTATAATAGTAAGATGAAGGCTATATTGGATTTCATACTGTAACCAAAATTTAGTGACAGAAGATTGTTAGTAACAGGCCCATTGCTAACAATTCCTTTTTTATATAAATATGAATAAATATAGAACAAATTTTATTATAAAGATTATTTTGTCCTTACTTTGTAATTATTGTTGCATGTCAGTAATAACAAAATGTTTGACTAACTTTTATAATATCTACTTTTTGTATCACATTTTAGCAACAAATTTAATTCATCAATGTCCTGATATCTCGACTTCCACGTGGTTCTCGTCCAAATCATTTAGTTAATTTCTGGTTAATTAATTATTTAATAGTCAACTGACTCCACTTTATTGTCACCTATCATCATTCCTTTATATCCCAGCAGTATCTAAGTAATAATGCAGGCGGAGTAACTATTACATTTTCATCCCACAAAAAACAGGTGGGGAAGAGAAGTTGGGGAAAAAAAGAGAACAGTCGACAAAATATTATTAGTAATGTACCATTTTTAACAATATTCTATCAGGTCGATCTCCATGCAGTGCCCCCGGATACCATCGTGGTTCGTGACTAATTTATAACGAGGAACCAACTACCTTCATGTCTTATTCTATCTTCTTTCACTGGTAGAGAGGAGGAGATTATTGGTAATGGACTATAGCGTGCAATGTTTCTAAACTCTATCAGGTCGACCTCTATGTAACATCATGGAAACCAGTCATCATCATCATCATATCAGCCTTTAACTGTCCACTGCTGAACATAAGCCTCCTCCTTGGAGGGTTATGCCAATAGTTGCCCCGCTTGGCAAACGCAGTTAGGCTTTAGAGATGTTTTGAGAGGGACGCTGCTGCCCATCTCTTGTCTTATGACACCTACGGGAAAGGAAGGAGTGGCTTATTCTATGCCGAGACCACACGATCGATGAAAATCAGTAGTGTAGTTAATTTTGGGTAAATTCGTCACAATGGGGTAATTCAGTGATTTTATTGTCATCTATGTATATTATCCCTCACTAGCGTACTAAACACTGATGTACATCAGTGTACTGGCAAGATTAGTATTCAACTTTCTTATATTAAAAAATATAATAATTATTAGTTTATCTATAAAAAGAAATTATTTGATTATTTCCTTGTAAAGGACGAATACAAAAACTACTGATTTAAAAAAATATTTCACTTATAGACAGCTAATATAGGTTATATATTATTTCCGAAAATTCTATCTAAACGAACGAAGCCGGACCCGATCCTTAGTTCATGAATATATCGATTGATAAACACTTACAAAATCTCTTCTCTCTAAGTAGCTTACACTGTACTAAAATAAGTTGAGGCAAGTGATGTTGAAGGAAATGTGGCCGACGCGCCGACCGCAAGAAGCCCCACGCTGACCACGGCTTCACCGGCCCGAGGACACCAAATCTACTTACACGATCTGATAACATTTAAAGAGAAACGTTGATTTTAATACCTATATAATTAATTTTTATTCATAAAAGAAAATATAATTTACCAGAGGAAGACTTTGTACAAAAGTCGATTGCTTGGGTACAGAGATACCCAAGCATGCTGCTTCACGGTTAAAACACGAATGGGACGTCTGTCCCATTCGTGCGACGGTTACCACTTTCCCTCAGGTGGGCCGTCAGCTAGTTTGCCATTCTAAATTGCATAAAAAAAATATAAAGATGATACAATTTATGTGGAACCAACATATTTTCAATAAAATATATATATATATATATATATATATATATATATATATTTCAAAAAGAAATAGATTGGATAGTGTTGTAAATATTACATGGATCTACGAGAAGCAGGCAGCTAGTTCTATTAATCCTATTACTATTATAAACGGAAATGTTTGGAGAGATGGGTAAGATATAGCAATATCTATATATTGTGGCTACAATATCTATCTATATATAGGCCTAAAAACAAATGTATTAAAGCTTGGTTATCCAATATATAACATCGAAATGAAGAGCTCGACTGAAATGAATACAGATAACCAACTGTTATGGGCGATATCGAAATAGGTGATAATGGTGGTGTATATGATCTTTTAACTGCCATCAATATACAGAGGGTTCCTCTGGACATTGATTGATTGAATATATAGATATCGAACCGGTACCGATATTACCCATTCTTAAATGTTTGTTGGGATGGATGTTTTTTACAATTTCAAGCAAAAGTTATGGAATGGATTTGAATTAAATTTAATACATGGATAGGTTATATGCTAATACATAGGATACTTTATGTGTTAATACATGCGGGATACAACATTATAAATGTGAAAATTTGTAAAAATGTTTGAATACTCGTTACCTACTCTATCACGTTTTATACAGTAAGATAGTTTTGATAAAAAGTGTACAGATTAACGCATAGAATTCACCTTGATTCATGCGGGCAAAGTTGCCAGTTACAGTTATTGTTATGTAATAAAAACGTCTAATTCCTATCATACTGTTACAAACAAGAGAAGCCTGTTTATAATCCTTATTAGTACTATAAATGTGAAAGTGAATTTGTTTGTTGCATTTTGGTGCTTTAACGCCTTAACCGTCATATATTTACACGTACTACAGTACTTATTTCATATGAAGAAGGACATAACTACTTTTTATCTCGGTGACATGGACGAAGCTGCGAGTAGGTACAGCTGGTATTGGTATAGGATTAGTGGTATGCTAAGGCGGCTATTTTTGGTATTCGAAGAGTTTAGTATTCTTTAAAAAAAAAGATCGAATACTGACTCGAGTCTAAGAACTTGAGCGAGTATTTGAATACACGTACTTCATTTGACTCGTATATTTTTTTTAATTAATTTCTGAAATTTTATTTTAATGATGACAATAAACTTTCAGTCATTTAACAATTTTAATTTTGATAATTAAGGAAAATTTAATAAACATATGAAACAGAAACAAATATGTCCGATATACACACGACTAGTATTCGAGTACCACAAGTATTTGAATTCTGTATTCGAGTATCGTGTAACCGAATTCTTAACAAGTTCTGTGAGTAACAACATGGCACATTACTATATAGGATTACATCTAAGTTTATGTCTGCAGGTGTAAAAGATGATTCGGACGACGTGTCAAGTAAAAGCTGTGGAGGCGATTCGTCGGGACTCGCGAAAAAACAAAGGAAGGCAAGGACGGCCTTCACAGATCACCAACTGCAGACGTTAGAAAAATCTTTCGAAAGACAGAAATACCTGAGTGTGCAGGATCGCATGGAACTTGCTGCGAAGTTAGGCCTTACTGATACACAGGTTAAAACCTGGTATCAGAATAGAAGGTCAGTGATTTTTTTTTTATTTCTTCTGTCCATTTTATATTATTATTGTTATATTAGTTTTTGACTGGCTACTGTTGATGTATTGGCTACATAGATGTTCCTCTATTGAGGTACTTTGCCAATAAGTAGTTGGCACGCTTGTCAGGCGGGTTGATAACGGCTGTTAGGTTTTGGTGATGTTTTAAGAAGAACGCTGCTGCTCATCTCTCGACCATTAAGTCTGTCTGCTGCGCATAATTAGGTATAGCTATGAATTAGGTTGCTTAATCTTATACAAATACTAAAAAAATATAAAATTCAAATTTAGTTAATAAAATATTCAAATAACAAAATTTATTATAAAAATACAATTTGTTGTAATCATAGGTTCACGAAGTCTTTAAAATATATATTAGCTACAAATTATGAATAGTTTACTACACAAATAAATACCTAAATATAGATATAATTTTACAAATAGGATTCACTAAAAATTTTAACAGCGATAATTTAAATTAATGCAAATATTTTACCTACCTAACAATTCTCATATCATATTTGCTCTAATTCAATATTTTAAAGCATACACATAATGCAGCTGTTAGTTTTAGCATTTTTACTTTCTCTGATTACTCAACTCATTTGTATTTTAATCGCAATGTAGTCAAATAAATTCAGAAAAATTGAGAACCTTTCTCCTTTTGGAAGTCGTTAAAAAAGATCAATAACTATATATTTAATACACATATTCAATCCTTATTACAATATAATTTAACAAAGTAAAATGTGACTATAAAAACGAAATAGTTATTATACCAAATCACCTGCTACCGCTAATCGCTGGGCCTTGTAACTTAGGTGCGTTAGATAATATCTTGAACAGTCGGCGAGTCAAAGTGATGCTGAGTCAGTGGGAGTATTGAGACTATCGAAATCTGCTACCGGCGTTGGTACATACAATTTTTAATTTATCTATTACTGTTGTTTTAATTTTTTTTTTTTATTAGTTAATGAGAATTATTTTGTTTAATACTGCTGCCATTTATATCTATACGTTCGACTACCAACATTTAGTGCTAAGAACTAAGCACTATTAATAGAAACCCTATGACCTTCAATTCTTCAACATTGCGATTGGTGTTTTAAGTGTATATTTTTTATCTTTTCTTCCAAATTTATATTTTCTTGTTTCTGATCTTCTATGATTATTTTTAATCACCATAAAAAGACTCGACTGTAATTTTTCTTAATTTTATTCGATATTTTTGCCAATTGAAAAATGATTTTAATAATTCTCTTAAAAAAATATATCAAAAAATTCTTCAACTATCGTAATTGTTCTATTTTATTTATTAGATACTCGTAAATATAAATAATTCCATATTCTTATAGATTTTCTAGAATATTCATTTAGACAGAATTAATTTAATATGTTTTTAATATATAGGTATAGGTATATTATAAAAATATTAAAAATAAACCATTGCATATAAATATTATATCAGCTCATGTTACAGAAATATAAAGTTTAAGTATGTGGGTAGATACACTACAAAATTATACCTTAATTTTATTTAAATTTGTACGTAACACGGCTACAACCGAGTGTACCTGGCGGCTATTTCAAAAACAAACGTTTGTAATTAGGCCCCGGACCCCGCCCGCCGCCGACCGCGCACTTTGATATAAAAACTACGGTAGCCTAAAAACAAACTACACTAATTTTCTATTGATTTAACATGCTGTAAGGATTAAATAATATTTTGTATTTAATTGACTATTGCTTCCATTTTAAATACAATTTATGACTATCTATTCATAACATATCTACTTAGATAGAACTTACCTTGAACCTAATCTATTTTATGTTTTATTTGTCTTTTATAAATGAATTTTATTTTTAATTATTATATTCATTAAATAATTTTAATTGTAAAAAATACATTAATTAGTTATATTAAAGTGCATCATGTATGTTATTTTTTTTTGTTTTATTTAATTAGGTATGCATATAAAAGTATGGTCGCATCGCCTACGTAGGCGCCGCACACGGCGACAGCTGGACATTTCATGCTTTTTCAATAGCCGACACTTTTTGCTACAGTTTTTGTCAAATTTCCATAATTTAGGTTAAACTAATGTTTGGGCTTCGATTTTTCGGTTCGTGAAAGAGTGTGAAATCGGAGTTAATTGACGGATGTAATAGCTTTTGTGTGCGGTCACTTTCTTCTGTTCTTCTGCCGACACGGTCCAAGTAGGTCGCTGTGTGCCTACTAATTTACTCTGTGGGAGCGATGGCTCCATCGTTTATACATTTGTGCCTTGTAATTGTTATTTTTAAATAACACAAAGCAAAAATTCTTATTAAGCCTCTTTAACTGAACCAAAATAATTTGTGTTAATTACAGGCGTACCATTGTAGGTCATTATAACAAAAATTAATTGGCTACATACATAAATTCTATTACGTAGCCATTTAATTAGTGATTATTCTCTACAAACAATTTAAATGTCCAGTAATTTGCATTTAATAAAGCTTTATGAATAGTAATTTGTAAAATACCTATTGTAACTCGCCGGGGGTGTAAGAAACTCGGATAAATTGCGGAAACAACTGCTTCTTGTCAAGGTTTATTACCAATTCTGCGACGAACAATTACTGTTATTATATTTTTTGTGCACGTATCCGAATAGTTCAAGTATTTTATTCGTTATAAATTGATATCATATTACACGTGTAGACTGTAGGTAACTCGTATTAAATTGTTTACAAGTGTATTGTTATTTCTTTTTTATTAGTTTCTTTGTTATTTTTATTTTTATTATTTTAAATTAAAGTGATTTAGAACGAAATTGCAATTAATATAGATAGACAGATAGACATCATAAAATCTGAAATATGAATAAAAAAATATTATAATGTAGTCTATTTTTTATTTATTAATCACAACAGTTCAATTTACAAAAATAACTAACGTCATTCTATACGACATATATCAATTACAAGTCGGTACCATTTTGTTTTTCAAACATCAAAATTGTACTAAACTAACAATAAATCACAAATTTTAAAGTTATTAGTTACTCAGTTACCCTTAAATTCATACTTTTTATAATAAAGGTATATAGGTATATAGTAGGATTTTTTTTTTTATTTTAGAATCGCATATTTTTCAAGTTACAATATCCAAACAAAGCCTGACAATGAACAGAATTTAGAGCACTCAAACCTGAGCCAATTTAGAACATTTCGTAATTTGGCTCATCCAAGAATGGCGCACTTATTAACATAAACAGTTTGTCTACCACTATGTCACGGAGGTTGCCACTTATATCATTATTTATAAATAGTAGAACAGAAAAAAATAATCTCGATTACAATTATTAAATAATATTTTTTAATATGTTTCCTTTGCTGTTTCATAGCATTAAAAATATTTAATGTTTAATACTTAAAAAAACTAAGTTCCGTACAAAATATTGTGTTAATATTAAAGAGCATACAGGAAGAACATAGTAGTACCTATTGTAACGTGCTTACCTACTAGAATAAGGTGGGTCCAGTATGCAAGTCACTGGCGCCGACACCGCCGCCCAAAGCTCGCCACTCATTATCCAGGCTTCCGCCGCCACTTTTGACACTATTACCTCTAATAGCTGGTCATCGATGTGTTTAGTTAATTGTTTAGAAGCTCCATGTAATATCGAAATCACCATCCTTTCGTGTAGACTTGCATTGATAAATGGATCCCAAGAATACGCTTTCTCTCTTTTATTTATTGATATCGTTCTATACCACTGGTTCGTTATTATGAATAAGCAATCATGTGTATGTGTGAATTTGATGCACAGTACACTCGTATTCAAATTGCTTTCTATTATAGATAATTATGATTAATTTAAAACTACAGTTACGGAGAGCGGTAGTCGCCAGTCAATCAGAGCACCGTTTTTCAATCTTTTATAGAATAGGTACTTAACTTTTTACCATTAGGTATAAATATTACATTTTTAGAGTGACCCCACAGGACCGTAAGTCAATGATTCCAAAGACGGCATCTTTTAATTATATTTGAAACTACACTGATTTAGAAATCAAGCGTACTTTACTTTATCCTGAGTTGCGAACCTACGACTCCGCTGGGAGTTGCGACTCGTTCGTTGAAATTACTGGTTAAGAAAAAAATATCAATCCCTCTAGACAAGCGGGGATTGATTATATCCTTACACATTTTTGTTACTGTGTATATGAGAAAAACCAAAACACCAAATGATGATGTCTCGTTTTATTTCATGCGAGCGGTGGCGATAACATACCTACCGATAGACTAGTTTTTCACTTGTTTGGGAGGAGCAAGGGGAATTTTGTTATATCTGATTTTTAGAAGTTGGATTATTTTTCCCTTTCTATTTGTTTCTTAATAGGATATTGCCAAATCGCTTGATCGTTAACTTATACACTTTATAACACAATAATGTATTTTTCCGAATGTCCGTTTGTGGCGTCCGGCAATAAATTCGTAATAGCTCCGCCGGGGCTGCCGTTTATCAGCGTTTAGTTCGCAGGGACGTGTAATCCGCAGCGATTACCTAATGACGCATTCTGTATAACTAATGAATGACACACGGCCCGACGATCCATAAACACACTAGTATTATATCGCGACTCGGATTTGCCCATTCTTTTATTTACATCGGTGAACATATGACTTAATCATCGTGACAAAAATATTTAATAACAGTGACAAAACGTTATTGACTGTAAATACAATGATGAAAATTGTTTTAAAACACACAAACGGAGAACTTTCTCTTTATCATGTAATATTTCAAGTACATAGAAACAATTATTAAACGTTATGTATTTAAATCATCATCTTCCTGTCCTTATCCTGATCATTTGAGGTATATAACAATGTGTTCTCTTTTTCCATTCATCTTTATTTGCAGTCATTTCAACATTCACTTCCTTTCTAGCCACGTCATTTTTCATACAATCCATCTATCTCATTTTAGATTTT